ACGAGGCACAGCCCGGCCCTCTCGAGGGCCGCCAAGCTCCGATGCTCCTGAAGTTCTCGGCAGCAGGTTCCATCGCTGTGCCGGGAGGGACTGGCGCCTCATCCCTGCTGGCCGGTAGGCTGCTCTGCGGCAGCACGGGAACTCTCACCATGGTCCTGTGCTCCCGAGTGTGGGCTTGCCGCAGGTAATTATTAATTACCAAGGTCACTCACTTCCTGTGGAATCTCCTGCAGAGCACACAGAGGACACCTGAAAGAGTGGGATCAGCTCCTCGTGGAGTTAGTCAGGGGTCTCTAGGGGGACAGATCAACAGGAAGGGTATTATAAAGGGGACTTATTAGGTTGGCTTATGCAACCAGAGGCTGGACACTCCTCAGTGGCCATCTGCAGGCTGGACAGCTGGGAGAACCAGTAACTGCACAGTCCAAGAGGCTGAGGCCCCAGAACAAGAGGGGTCACTGGTGCTGCCCCAAGATGGAGACCAGGGGTTCTGGAGACTCCCTGGAGAAACACCGCAGAGTCCGCTTTGGAAAAGTAAAGGAGCCAGAGTCTGTCCTCAGAGGACCACAGCAGCAACAAGAACCCACTCGAGAGTTCGATCCGCGGCTGCCTCCTCGGTCTCCAACTTCTATTCCATCCAAGCCTCAGGCTTTTGGACAGTGTGCCCACACTTAGGGAAGGTCCCCATTTCAGTTGGCCTCCCCTCATGCCAACACTCCTAGGCACACCCCCACTGAAAACCCGGAAGCCTGATCACCGGAGCCTCTTAATCCAGTCAAGTCGACGATTACAGGGCTCCATGCGCCTGTCTACTTCTTGATAGGAGACACCTGTGGCCAAGTAATAAGGAGATTCCTCAACCTACGATGAACAGGTCCTGTCCCTTCAACAAACAGCGCCCAGGAAATCTGAACAGCCCTGCACCTCACTGTGACCAAGGATTCCGTGAAACGTCCTGCCAGACAACTCTGTGAAGTGCGTCACTGCTGCATGAGACTCAGGACGTAGCCCTTGGTGGTCATCTTACCCTGGCCGGCTGACTTTAGAGGTCAAAGCCACCAACCTTGGAGGTCACACCGGGGACAATGCAGTGTCACTCCCCCCGCCCCCCCGTCTTGCTGCAGACCACACCTCTGACCTGTGGGTTGTGGTGATGACGGTGGCCTGGGCCACTCTCCGGGGACCTGAGGCCACTTTGGCTGAAGACTTGGACTCTTCACGTGGACCTGCAGGCGTCCCTGGGGACTGGAGCAGGACGGAGAGACCTGGCCTCCGTCTCCACACTGTCTCCTGCGCTGCCCTGACCGGGGCCAGGTCTCCCTGGCGCTGAGGTAGCCATGTTGAGCATGGAGTCACGTTTGTCCGGAGCCACGGCAGGGGGATGGCTTGACCTGGGCCTGCCTCGCGTCTCCCCCCCTCTGACGTGAAGACACCTGCTGGCCACCATGCCCAGAAACACTGGCCCATGGAGCAGTGAAGAGAGGCACTGAGCTCCTGAAAGACCTCCCCTGCCCCAGAAGGGACCCGAATGTCCCCCCTTTAGGAGCCGCCCCCAGTGCTCCGAGCCTGAATCTGCAGCCGCTCACCCTGAGCGGGGAGGCTGACTCGGGGGCAGAGACTCCCTCTGCACTCCTAAGTTTGGGTCATGCAGGGGCTGGGGAGCAGCAGGTACCCCCCAGCTCACGGGCAGACCCCTCTGCTGCGGAGCTCTCCCCACAGCTCAGCAGGACAGCCTCTGCCTCAGGCAGACTGGGGCTGCGGGGCTGCAGCACTACTCAAAGACAGGGCAGTGCACCGCCCAGAGCAGCGGCCAGCCCCTGAGGTCCCCTCCTGAACATGGACTCCTGGCAGAAGCAGTGCGGAGCCACTGTGCTGACTCAGGAGCCCACACACTGCAGCAGCTGTCCAGGAGCAGGTCACACCCGCCAGTCCTGCAGCAGCCGACCAAGAGGCACTGGCCGCTGAGCGACGCTGGACTGGGCTAAGCTAAGCCTGCGTGCTACAGCTGAAAACCAGCAGAGCACAGGACTCACCACCAAAGCTCTGCGACATAACAAAGGGCACTCACAAGGAGGTGCAGGGGTCTCCTCACAAGGTGCAGGGCCCGGGCCTCTGGAAACAGGGGGAGGTGGGCAAAGAAAGCTCCCCCAAGTGCACAACCCCAGCAGGGGGCCCACAGCTACGGGAAGGGGTGACATCCCAGAGGGAGACCTATGAAAATCGATTGTTAAAGTGTTTAATGAGCTAAAAGAAGATCTTAGGAATGAACTAAAAGGACGAATGCAGAAGATGAAAGAACACTCAATAAACAGAGACTCTGAACAGCAACCAATCAGATGGCCTAGATATGGAGACCCGATGACTCGGATAAAACTCCACATGGAGGCTGCGGTCGGTGGCTGGAGTGCCACACACGAGAGGCCCTGGGCTCCAAACTCAGCACCACCTAAAAATATATGAATAAAATAAAGATATTGTGTCCATCTACAACTTGAAGTTTTTTTAAAAAAATCCATGTGGCGGTAACACTGACAGATTGAATCACACTGAAATCAGAACTTCAGGCCTAGAAGGCAGGGTATGCAGACTTGCACTTCTCAAAAGGAGGAGTACGAACGGCCCACAAATACATGACAAAAACACCCCACATCCTTAGCCATCAGGGAAATGCAGACCCAACAACACTGAGGTTTCAGCTCACTGCACTGAGAAGGGCAGTGAGAATAAAAGTAGTAACAATTGCTGGTTGAACGGGGGCGAAAGGGACTCGCATGTTGCAGGTGGACTGCAAATTGGTATGGAGACTCCTCAAGGCTGAGGCGTGGAACCGCCACGGGACCCGGGCCGCTCCCGGGCATTCATCCTAAAGAACTTCAGCGCATCCTGCTGCCACATGGGCACCCGTGCTCCTGGCAGCCCATCCCACAACAGCCAGCCCTGGAGCTACCCGGGGGCCATCCACGGAGGAGTGGGTGAAGGAAAGTGGTGCAGGGACACCACGGAGTTTCGCTCGACCATGAGGAGGATGAAGCCTGGCATCTGCTGCTGAGGGAGTCCAGGTCGGAGCTTTCTCTGCTCTGCAGAAGAGCCCAGGGAAGTGAGGGCGGGGGAGCCTGCTAGGAAACGCTTCTCCCCCCTCTGCAGGTGACTGGGGTGTCACTCTGTCAATGGGCTGACTGAGACCAACCGCCTTCGGTCCAGCGACCAAACCCACTTTGTCGAGAGACACGGTGAGACGTGCTGGGTGGGCAGGTCTGCAAGCAGGTGCCGAGGCCACGCGCTCACAGACACCTGCTTCACAGCCGGCCACGTGCCCTTGCCTGCGCCCAGGCCTGCATGCTGGTCTCTGAGCGTCCTCTGGCTCCACCGGCCGGTGTGTGCGGGCTCCCAGGCCCCGGCAGGCTCTCCGTCCCGTGGACGTATCAACATTCATTAGTCACGGTGTGTTCGTCTTGCTTGACTGTTGTTTAAACAGGAGGGCAGAACTGGGAGCTGCCCACCGTGGCCAAGACGGCAACCCTCTCGGGGTGCTTTTAAGGGACCACTGATGGCTGTGGGGCTGGACAAGCCACTGATGGGAGGGAGAGCAGTGTCCAGCCAAGGCTGGCTGTGCTCTGTCTGGGAAGACCCTGCTCGATTCCCAAGCCACTCACCTTCACCTTTGGGGACGTCACTCAGGCCATGAGGGTCCCTTCCTGGGGAACTCCTTTTGGGCAGCTGGCTTTGCCTTCTCAGGCAACAGGACCTCCCACGGGAGGTCCTCCCCCTAACCTGACCATGTTGTTCTTTTACCTCTAGAAATCGTCCCTGCAGTGGGGACAGCGGCTTGTACGCTGATCTGTCGTTAGTCACATGGTTTTCTGTCAGAATGTTGAAGACGTTTTTACTCTTTAAAAATGATTTTGGCTGGAGTGTGTTTTGCTCTAAGAGTTCTTCCGCTGACCTGACCACAGTCTCCCTCTCCACCCGGGAACACGCGTCTCTCCTCTGAGGCACCGGGCCCACGGGTTCCATCCTGCACACCTCGCACCCCTGCCTGCTGACCAGCCCGAACAGCTCCTGAGAGCCGCCCCGACGCCCGGGCTCTTGGTGGCCGGGCCTGCGCCTCCTGTGTGCAGGACTCCCGAGCATCGCCCCGCATCCAGACCTACCTCTGCCACCTGCTGGGAGCCATTAGCCAAGTAGGTATGACAATCTCCTTGCCAGCGTACCCCATGTTGCAGTGACATTGAATGTAGGTGACCTTGCTCAAGGACCAGGGCGGATTAGGGTGTTCCCGGTTTAAGATAATCCCAGTTTAGGTTCCAGGTTTAAGGTTTAAGATTATTCCTGCTGGGAATAGGGCGTATCCTGCTGCCTGAGTTCCCCTTGAGTTCTCATGGGATTCAGACAGTATTTTTTGGGAGACAGAAGCCCAGTGGAGGGATTTTGGGCAGAGAACGTGGATTTCCCCAGAACGTGATTATAGACGGCTGGTGTGAGTTCGGGAATAAAGAGTTGCTGTTTGAATCTACAAGCTGTGTGGTGGCTCGTGATTTTGTGCCCAGCCAGACTGCGGCAGCCACCCAGCTGCTGCACCTCAGGACACTCTGGCTTATTAATAATAAGAAATATTTTCTGCAAATAACGTTCTACATTTTGAAGAAGAGCTAAACCATACTTTCCACCTGCACCTTAAATATTTCAACTCTAAAAATGCTTTATGTCTTTGTTTTCATTTAGACATTTGTGATAGGTGGCAGATAATACATTTTTTCCAATTTATTTTTCCTATTTATTTTTTCCATTTATCTTCCTACTTATTCATAAACAAGATAATTTGGGGTACAACACATTGCAAGGAAGTGAGTCTCCCTACGTACAGCACCCTGCCTGCGCCTGTGATCCCAACAACTCAGGAGGCTGAGGCAGGAGGATTGCAAGTTGGAGGCAAGTGACTTAGCGAGACCCAGTCCCTGAACAAAAGATAAAAGGGGCTGGCGAGGCAGCTCAGTGGTGAGCCCCCCTGGGTTCTGTCCCTGGCACCCCCAGTAAAAATGTGGTGGGCTCTGCCCTTTGGCATGAAGGCTAGCAGCTTCCCTCGGTGGCGAGAGAAGGGGAGGCAGACTCAGGACCCATCTCTCCGCTCCTCACTGACCCTGCACCCCGAGGACACTCGCTGACGGGGCCCGGGTGTCCTCCGCCCAACCTCCCACACTGGTCACCACCGGCTCTCCTCCCATCTGTGTGGACTTGCTTCTCAGCACCTGGAAGATAGGAAAGTACAGAGGAAGGAGAGAGGGGGCTAGCGGCACTTGAGAAGTCCAGCCCACGGGTCTCCCAGGCGTTCGGAGACCATGTTATGAGCACTGTCACTCATGGCTCAGAACTCCACGGCTCAAAGCAACTAGCACCTCGTCCCCATTTCTGAAGGTGAAGAGCCCACGCGGAGTCGACTGCTTCCAGAGCGCGAGGCCCCTGGCTGTGGCCGGCTGCCGCGGGGTGCCAAGGGATCCACCTGGATAGGGGTGGCTGGTGTGCTCACGAGGCTCAGAGGAGGCTGTGGCTCGAGGCCTGGCCCCTGTGGACTGGCCACCCTTCCACAGCACTACCCAGCGTGTGGAGATGTGCGGCCTCATCAGGAAGGAGAGACAGCAAGACTGGGGGCCATCCAGGAAGGCCCAGGACCGAGGTCCGCCTCACTGACCCTACCACTAGAAATGGCCGTCCCAAGCCGTGCCCCAGGGGACTGCAGGAGGCGGGCCACCCACACTCGAGGCAGAGATCTGAAGGCAGCCTCGGGTTTTCAGACACGACCGGCCAGAAGCAAACCCAGTCCTGCCAGGAAGGGAGAACCAGGGCTGGCTTTCCTCACCCCACCTCAGCAGCCTCCGTCTGCGGCTAGAGGCTGGCCTCGGGCACCTGCCGGCCCGGCAGCTTCTGCCTTCACTGAGGGACTCAGGAGGAGGGTGCGTGGAGGTGAGCCACACCCACCGGGCAGACATGGCTTCAAAGTCTCCCCCTCGACTCTCCCTTCATCAGACCTGCTCTCCAGGGCGTAATTCGCACTGGGATCACCCGCAGAGACCATGTGCTTGTGTTCGAAGGGAACTGGAAGCAGGTAAGTTTTAAAGAGGTGAACGTTTCTACATTGTTCATATGGGACCATACGACAAAGGCATATTTGCTTTGAAGACGAGGCCAAGACAGCCACTTGAGTGCCTGGAGTCGAGACTGGTCTGCCGTGGACTTAGGCTTGGTTCAGCCAGAATGAACATGATAAAATCAAAGTATCATACAGCAGAGAAAGAAAAGGCCTTGGCAACTCCTAGTGACCACGTGGGCTCCTTATCAAAGCCCGGCCCGGAGCAACGAGGGTGGCCGCTGGTGGTTGAAGACATCCAGGGAAGGCCCAGGACCGAGGGCCACCTGGGCCCTGCGTTCTCTACCCGACAGGGCAGGAAGAGGCCCACAGTGTGGTCCCCATTAGTATCCCCACCGACAGCCGGAGGGGCAGGTGCTGAGAGAGCCAGAAGCGCTTCCCAGGGCCCAGGGGCGGCGAGAGAGCCAACCTGGAGCCAGGGTCTCTGCTCCGGAGCCCATGCCCCTGGAGGGCCGTGGCACGCACTGCGGCACCCACACCCACAGTCAGTATTTGTTGACTTAACAAACTCACAAAGTTTTGAATTAATGGCTGAACCTGCAGGAAAACAGATGCTCCCTCTTATTTTGCTTGGCCAACACAAAATCACATCGGTGCCATTTTAGGGGGAAAACTTGGAAAAGCCCGGTCACTCCTAGCGTGCCCAGAGAGACAGCACTCTGGGCAGGGCGTGAGGTCACCTGTCACTGCTGAGACCGCTGTGCTGCAAGCCAGCCCCACAAATCTGGGCTCTGAATGCGTTTCCACGTGGTCGGCTGCAGCCCTCTCTGCCGAGCACGTCTCCCTGGGTGGCTTTAAAGAGTTCACAAAGTGGAAGATAATCTGCTTCCTGGGACTGTGCGAGCCACAGAGCAGGAAGGGTCCTGCTTGTTTGGGGCTGCACATTGCTAGGCGGTCTCGTGATCAGGTGAGTCTCAATGCCTATTTACTGATGTTTTAGGTGAAGGTTCCCCTCTTCACCAGAGTCACACGTCAGTGGAAGGAGGAAAGGCTTAGCTGATGCTTCTCCCTGTGGAGAAACGGCAGGACTGGACCCGGGGACTGCCGGGCCAGGTGTCAGTGGGCAGGGAGCTGGCTGTCCACCACAGGCCCCTGGCCGTCGGGGTCTGTGGCAGTCCCCCCAGCAGCACCCAGCACAGCAGCAACTGGGCTCTAGCCTGGGGTTGGAGGCTTCTGACCAACGGCCTCCTAGAGCTTGGGCTGGAAATGAGTTTGCATCATGTTTCATCTCCTTCCCACCAGAACCCAGCTCATGGGACTCCTGAAGCTGCCTCCGAGTTCACACCAGTGTGCTCTTCAATTTTCCTTTTGGCCATTCAGAGCACAGCTTTATTTTCCAGGGACACGCTTGGCCAAGCCCACTTGACAGGAAAGCTGGCCGGGCGACACGGGCCAGGCCTCCCGGCCCAGGTGGCCCTCTCCTTCCTGCTCCTGTGCTTGAGACCGCCCTGATTTCAGAGTCTGACTCGGAAGCAGTGCCCTGCAGTGGCGGAGGGCCAGTGAGAGTGAGCGGAGAATCCTGGTGGACAGAGGGAGGCGGAGGGAAGTCCACAGAAGCCCTGCAGGAGAGCACGGCCAGCCGAGGTCCCCAGGGACTCCCAGCCTGTGTCAAACAATGAACCACCAGAACTTAAAGACTCGTGTTTCCATCCCACAGGTTTACGACAGTCTGTAAAGGAATATTTAACAGGTGTCCCAATTCCTTCTGGCAAGAGCCTTCAGGTCTGGGTCCACATGTGAGCGCGAGAAGCTGCAGGGGAACATGGCGGGTGAGCAGGGGTCTGAGTGGGGGTCCCTGGCCAGGCCTGGCGCCAAAGGGGGAGAGAATGGAGCAGGCTGGGAGGACCACGGGGCCTTGACCCAGCAGGCCACCCTCACGGGAGCCTGGAGTCAACTCTGCAGGTTCAGGGGATGAGGCAAGGCCGGGCGGCCACGCAACATGTGGCCGGAGGGGACGAGCGGGTCTGGCTGGTTGGGTTTGGTTCGGTAGCTGAAATCTCTCTCGTGGAAACTCACAGAGACCATGATCTTGGATCCTCCCAGTCCCAGGCCCAGCACCTGGATCCCAGCAGGCTGCCTTCGCCTGCTTGGTCAACTGCCCAGCTGGCCCTGAGGGGCCAGGGCCCAGAGCCACAGCGCCAGCTTGTCTTGTGTGCTTGTCCTCTATGACCTCGTGCTTGGCAGCAGGTGACATTCTCAGAAGTTCTGATCCAGCATGCTGTGGCCCATGCTGGGGTGCAGTGCTCCCTCCGATGACTCTACTTCGAGGCTGAGGGGTGTCCAGCTTGCTGCTGATTGCAGGCTCTTCTCAATGAGGTTCCCACAAACACACCTGCACACGTGTGGGTGGACACAGCTCACACTCTGGGACACACCCCTCGAGCCAACACCCTGGGCTGTGGGTCATTTCCCCGGATCGCATTGTGCTACAGCTGCTCCGACCCTCATAGATGAGTGGCCGGGGCAGCCTCAAGATCCGTGCAGGGCCTGGTCCACAGCAGCAGCTGCTGGGACGAGATCCTCATGGCTGCTGCCACCGCCTAGGAAGACAGCCGTGTGCAGCAGCCCACAGATGGACCGGCCTGTGCACTGTGGCGGCCTGCACCCGCCTCAGGGGCAGCTGGTGCCGGTTCTTCCCTACACATCTGGACAAGCTCCGGGCACTGGCTTGCAACGTCCCCTTCCCCGAGGCTATGACTTTTCCTCTGAACACAGGTCCAGCTACACACTGCAAGACGTGACATTTTCCTTAACATTTTAATTTTAAAGGTGGACTCTAGAGAACCCACTTCTGCTTTTATATAAAATATTTCAGAATTTCCCAGTCGTCTTTCCTCTTTTCAATTTTGAGTGATTTCTCCATGGTCAGAGAACATACTCCAAGTAACTTCAGTTCTTTGAAGTTGGTCAATATTTGCTTTATTTCTCCAAGTGAACTACTGACGAATACTTCATGTGCATATAAGAAGAACCAGGATCTAAAGTTGCTAGGAATGGAATTCTACAGGTACCAATTAGAATGAGTTTGTTATAAAAATTGTTCAAGTCAGATGCCAAGTAAGTGAACTCTTCACTGTGATTGAGGACTGTTAATTACTCTGCTGATTTCTGATTATTTTTGCAGCCTATGTTCAGTTTTTTCTTGCATTTGAACCTGGTAATTTTCACCTTTAAGTCGTAGTGTTAATTCTCATGCTGTGATAAAATAATTTTATTATCATATTCATTTTCCCCGTTATTTACTTCTTTTGAATTGCTCGAGTGGTTTTAGTTATTCAGTTCACCTGCACTGGCCTGATGGTTCCCTATATGGCGATTCCTCAGGTAGCTGCTTCAGACATTGGAAGAGACGTCCTTAGTTACTCGGCCACATTCCGGACAATACAGAATCCTGTGGTAAATTGACTCCCTTGACTACCCACCATGTAATCACCTACAATATCTTAATTCTCTACATATCAACGTCTCAGTTATACCTTCTGTAGCCATGAGTGGTGATTTAGCATCAACACCGAGGCCACGTTCTGAAGGTCCTCTTTCTCCCTCCAGGCCTGCTTCCTTTCCCCTGGAGAACATCGTGTGTGTCCTTTACTGTAGCTGGAGACGACAATCAACATGGATTCTTACGAGGACATTCTCACTAGGTTTGAGCCTGGATTGGCAGTCATTTTCTTCAGCACTTCAAAGATGCGTGTTAGCTTTTCATTGCTCTGACAAAATAAATGAGAAAAAAACATAAAGCAGGAAAGGTGGATTTGGGTTCCTGGTTTCAGAGGTTCAGTCCAGGGTCGGCTGGCTCTTGACTCCTGGCTTGTGATGGGCAGAGCATCATGGCAGAGGGTTTGGTGGAAGACATCTGCTCAACCCCTGGTGACCAGGAGGCAGGGGCAAGCAGGGAAGGGCTGGGGCATGTCCACTCCTGCATGTCCACCACCCTCCTGGAGAATTGCACTTGAGGCCACAGGTCTCACAGCACTCTGCTCCTGTGACCTGTCCTCTGCACCCCCTTCCTGCTGGCCACACCCCACTATTGGCCCACCTGCTGGCTCAAACTCCAGCTACTCGGACTTCTGATTCTCGGGTCTCACGTAAGTAATTTTGTGC